CTGATTTTTATTTGATTTTAATATTAAAAAAAATAGAAACCTAATCCTTCAGAATAGTTCATACTGATGCATGACGTATTTATAGAGTCCATTCCTATGAAGTGTTACAATACTGCCAGTGCACAATACCGACTTGCATAAATCACCAGGTACAAAATCCATCTTTGGCACAGAGCCATAAGAACCGTGGATTTAATAAATACTTACTATCAAAAATTTCAAGCACTTTGGAGAGATTAAATAGATATTCTTCAATGTTCCCAATTCCAAAACTCGCTTTAGGGTGTCTCTCATGGTCTCCTGGAAAACAGAAATATGTATATATATATATATATATATATATATATATATATATATATATATATATATATATATATATATATATATATATATATATATATATATAAATGTGTGTGTGTGTGTGTGTGTGTGTGTGTGTAACCTTATCAGGAGTCAAATGATTGTCATAATGAGGAAAATAATGTCCTAATTATAAAATTTCCTGATTGCATTAGCACTGATATAATTTTGTTTGTATTACTCTTCTAATGCAAGTCAGAGGGCAATTTGATTTATAAGGTGGACAATTCGAGAAAGTACTATCAATTCAAATCATTTCATATTTATGCTTATCAGTTCTATATTATATTTTCTGAAGCTTTATTTGCTGGGTTTTTTTTATATCACTTTACATTATTATTATTATTTTTTTTTTTACAATTTCTTAGTGATTTCTTCCTTAGTTCTTCAACTGTCCGTTTTCGTTCTTTTATTTTTCCCTGTCTTGGATGCCATGATGTTCTTTGGAAGCTTCCTTTAGACCAACTTAATGGCCTTTTAGGCTCCCTCCACGTGAAGAGGAGTTCACTTTTTTAACAATAAGAACATTATGTCACAGGGGGGGATCAGGTTTTCAGAGATGCTTAGGTGGAGCATGCCCCCCCCAAAAAAGAAGGTTGGGAACCACTGATCTGGACTGATGTTCACATTCCCTCCCTAACATGGTGCCGGTAAAAAAGAAAAAAAAAAAACTACGAAAAGTGTGTAAGCGAATCACCTCCAAACCTTAATAGTGATGAAATTTCCCAAGTGAAGTACTTTCCGCATCGTATTTTCTGAGAGTTCTATTTTAAGCAGTGTGGAATATTACATTTAATGGAATTAATATATATGTAAATTGTCTATGTTGAATGATAAGTCATCGTCATTGAGTGTGTATATCCATGGTTAGTGTAACTTTCACTAAATGTACAAATATTTCAGAAGTTAACTACTGTTCTATAAATCATATTATGAACGGTGGGAAAAAAATCTGATTTTCATGGTAAGTCTGTCTCTTGTAAATTTGCTCTTGATATATGTACAAATTGCTTATTTATGAAATATTTATGTGGAATGAATCATATAATGATTAGTAATGATGGTGTAAAGTTTCGTGTTCACCTACTTTAAATAACAGTATTACAGTTTGACAAATCTATGTGGAATGAGTCGTTATGAGTGGTATGCCATTTTATCACCAATAAACACGGTTTGCTTTTTCATGACCAATCTAATTATTTCTTTCCAAGTTTGTAAATTGCTGTTGGATATTGACTATCGACAACACCTTTTTGTGTTATTGCAACATTGGGGGTGTTGCCTGAAGGAGTTTTCGATGTGTCAATGTTGTTTTGACCAAGTGTTTCATATGATCAATACAGAGAAGAACATTTATGTATTCAGTGCAGTGTACAAGTTGGTTTTATATTTCCCTAGACACTATTGACAAATAAAATCTAAATGGTATCTTTTTATGTGTACACTAGTTTGCACTGGTGCCTAGGGATTCAATGTTAATGATGCCGTTTGCAGATGAATTAATTAAATTTCAGTGTATATCAGTAAACCAGACATATATGTTGATGTACATCTATAAAATACAATCCGTGATATGTCTCAGAGATGTTGGAATTGATGTAATCACAAATAAAAAGAAATAATGTGAACTGGCTTTATATTACATCTGCTGTCACAATTTCCTTGTGATTAAATCGAGCTGTAATGTCTTTTAGGAACCTCCTTCAACTCTCAGTATGGATCAGGATCACTTTAGAAAACAAAAAAGAGATGTAGCTTCGTGCTGTACATATCTCAGATCATTAGAGAGAGAGAGAGAGAGAGGAGAGAGAAGAGAGAGAGAGAGAGAGAGAGAGAGAGAGAGAGAGAGAGAGTATATGCCTGAAGAGAAAAGTACAGCAGCTCTTTATTTGTATGTCCTATTAACACATTACATTTAAGCCTCTTTGTGGGTCACCTAAATTGGAGAAAATAAAGAAAGAAGAGACAGCTGTATAATGCCTATTCACTAAAGGGATAAATGGATAGAATATAAATGAAATTAAAAGTATTTTTTTTTTATTTATGTTGTATTATGATGTTAATGGCACTGTGAAGAAAGTCATGAATACAATGAAGGATAAGTTTAAGTTTGATTCATTATATTATAGAAATGTATTTTTGTTCCATTAATGTCTGCGTTGTATAGTAGAGTTTACATAGACACATACAATGGTTGTGTGCCATGTGCATCTTTCATGGCAATCCAGCTACACTGGTAATAAGTCCATTATTTCCTTAGAATATATTGCTATGTTATGAGCTCTCAATTATTGATGATTTTTTTTTTTTTTTACTTCACAACAAGTCAAACTTTCTTTGAATAGTGAAACGGACACTTGCAGATTATATCTTCAGCGCAAGAAATACTTTGTATAGTCATTAGTTTGTTAAAGTTTAGTTTGTATTAGAAAATCTTTTTGAACTTTATTTCACGTTTTAAAATTTTTCGCGGAAGGTTAAATTGTAGCACGCTAAAATATATGTAGAAATTAATTTTAATTTAAAAACCATTATTCTCTCTCTCTCTCTCTCTCTCTCTCTCTCTCTCTCTCTCTCTCTCTCTCTCTCTCTCTCTCTCTCTCTCTCTCTCTCTCTCTCTCTCTCTCTCTCTCTCTCTCTCTCTCTCTCTCTCTCTCTCTCTCTCTCTCTCTCTCTCCGATTGATGTGATGTTTTTACGACGTCATAAATTATAAATTCACCTCACACCCTCAACTTGATTCATATATTTTATTTTAATATAACACTCTTGTAAGTTTTCTCACTAAGATATATTATCACTACATGATCATCGGTACAGTATATATATATATATATATATATATATATATATATATATATATATATATATATATATATATATATATATATATATATATATATATGTATGTGTGTGTGTGTGATTACCTAATTGTGATTACCTAATTGTGTTTACGGGAAAGAGCCCAAAGCTCGTATCTTCCCGTCTCCTGATCGGTTCCATTTTTAGACTTAGTGATACTTATCATACCTGTCCTTAAAACTATGGATTGAGGTAGCATTAACTACCTCCTCGCTTAGCGAATTCCAATTATCAACTACTCTTACACTGAAAAAGTATTTCCTTACATCCTGCAAACAAGTTTTCTTCCGAAGCTTCAAACTATGACCTCTAGTTCTAGAGCCAGCCATATCGAAATATCGATCCCTATCCACTCTATCATAACCATGAAGGAATTTAAAGACTGTCACCATATCCCCCCTTACTCTTCTAGCTTCGAGTGATGCAAGTCTAATTCCCTCAGCCTCTCATCATAACCGAGATTGCGTATTTCTGGCACCAGTTTCGTGGCATGTCTTTGAACTTTTTCAAGCTTAGCTATGTGCTTTTTCAAGTGCGGATTCCAAAAGGGGGCTGCATATTCGAGTTTTGGCCTCACATAGGTTACATAAATATTTCTGAACATTTCCTTGTCCATGTGCCTGAAGGCTACCCTTACATTTGATAAGAATGCATATGCTGCCCTTACTACGCCATTTATATGTATTTCTGGAGACAAATCTGCCAATATGTTTACTCCTAGATCTCTCTCATTTTCTGTCTCCTGAAGCTGTACTCCAGCCACCGAGTAGTCAAGCTTGGGCCTTCTTGCACTTGTACCCATTCTCATTACCTTACATTTTGAGGTATTGAATTTCATTAGCCACTTTTCTGACCACTCATGCAGATTATTTAGATCCTCCTGAAGTTCTCTACCATTGTTCTCGTTTTTTACTTTCTTCACAATCTTTGCATCATCTGCAAACATATTCATGAATGAATTTACAGACTCTGGTAGGTCATTTACATATACAAGGAACAAAAGTGGCCCTAAAACTGAACCCTGTGGAACTCCACTACTAACTCTTCTCCATTCAGACACTGAGTGTCTTACTCTAACCCTCTGTTCCCTTCCTTCTAAGTAAGTTTTTATCCATTCCAAGACATTTCCACCTATTCTAGCCATTGATTGCAGCTTCCTAATAAGTCTCCCATGTGGAACAGTGTCAAACGCTTTCTGGAAGTCTAGGAATATGCAATCTGCCCAACCCTCTCTTTCCTGTAAGATTTGGCTTACCTCATCATAAAATTCTAATAAGTTTGTTACTGTTGATCTTCCTTCTCTGTGTGTATGTATGTATGTATGTATCTAAATATGTATGACTGTATGCATAAATGTATGTATGCATGTACGTATGTATGTATGTATGTTTGTATGCATGTAAGTATGATTTGAATGGTATCAGAAATTACGATAGTTTGGGAGCACTGATTCCATACATTAAGTATCAAGAGTAACTATCTTATCTATGTATATATATATATATATATATATATATATATATATATATATATATATATATATATATATATATATATATATATATATATATAACAAAATAAGCACATTACATATGTGAAAACATGAATAATTTTTACCCCGACCGGGACTTGAACCTGGGACTTATTAATAATAAGCCAAGGCGCTACCAACTACGCCACAGAAGT